CTTGAGTTGTTCTTGCGAGTCTTTAGTCGACCAGGTACATATCTTGCGGGTGTTTTGTTCTTGGCGCAAATGCACTGCTGATCTACTGAGAGCATTGTTAGCAAATTGAACAGATTTTAGAAATTTCGAATAAAAATATTCAGTTGAAGTGCCCGGAATGATCACGACGGCATTACGAACATGAGCAAATCAACAAAACAAAAAGGTTCTGTGGAAAAAAGAACACGCAGCACAAAAATGTAAATCTACATTTTTATAAGAAAACAATAAATAAAAGAAATTTAATATTTTAAAACAGAATTTACCCATGCCTTTTTCCTCAAAAAAGCCAAAAATAAATTCATCGCTTATTAAGGCCTCACTTTTTAAGGAAAATCCATCACTTTTTAAGGCCTTACTTTATTAGAAAAAGTCATCGCTTATTAAGGCCTTACTTTTTAAGGGAAATTCATCGCTTATTGAGGCATTACTTTCGGCTAATTCTCGCTTACTAGGTCATCGATTATGCTCCTAGGACATCCCTGTGTTAAAGTAAACAGCCCTTCGTATGGCAGGTCATCGCTTATGTCATCGAGCTGCATGACGTTGTCATCGTTGTGTGGTTGCTTACACATCGCTGACTTGTACTGCAGGGTATTGATTCATTTATGTATGTGTATGTGTGGGTGCCGACCACTGATTGAAACTAACTCATCACTCAACTAATATCGATGGCTTAACAGACACATAAAAAAGGAAAATTTTTTAATATAATATAATTAATGTTTCTATTTATATAGTTAAAGAAAGATTAAGGTTTTGATCGTGTTCAGTCCCATATTTATGCAATATTTGAGCCAAGGGGCGTCGTAAAATTCCCAGGTCGAGAATCCCAAGAAAAGTCCAAGTCAGAATCAATTTCTGTTCAATCAATTTATTGGTATATATGGGTTTGTACAAGGAGTACACGCGTGCGAAGGTAACCCGTGTCGCTTAGGATGAAGGAAACGAATGTGTTGAAGTTACGCTCAAGCTGCTGAGGGCTGCTGGGAGCGAGAGCGGGAGCGGGAGCGCACGTAGATGGAAGTTGCGCTCAAGCTGCCGAGGGCTGTCGGCAGCGAGAGCGGGAGCGTGATCGTGGGCGGGAGCGTGCCCGTGGTGAATTTAAGAATGAAGAGAAGAAGAGAAGAGAATTTAAGAATATCCCAATATTTGAGCCAAGGGGCGTCGTAAAATTCCCAGGTCGAGAATCCCAAGAAAAGTCCAAGTCAGAATCCAAAAGAAAGCCGGGGTCGTCAGTGTTCAATCAATTTATTGGTATATATGGGTTTTTACAAGGAGTACACGCGTGCGAAGGTAACCCGTGTCGCTTAGGATGAAGGAAACGAATGTGTTGAAGTTACGCTCAAGCTGCTGAGGGCTGCTGGGAGCGAGAGCGGGAGCGGGAGCGGGAGCGCACGTAGATGGAAGTTGCGCTCAAGCTGCCGAGGGCTGTCGGCAGCGAGAGCGTGATCGTGGGCGGGAGCGTGCCCGTGGTGAATTTAAGAATGAAGAGAGCGTCGCCGGGGGGAAAAATGCTCTTAAGTATGAGGGCGAAAGCGAGGGCAGCCGCTTGCGTAGCTGGAGTGCTAACACTGAGATGTGGCTGGAATGCCCACAGAGCGGTTGCCCCGCCAGCGCCGTCCCCACTCTGAACATTCTCCCCCCCTTGCAGGATTGCAAAGAGTTTTTAAGTCTGCGTGCACGCACCAGACACAATCCACCCAAACACCGTGCTTTGGGCCACGGGGAGGCCGTCTTTGCGGGCGAGGAAGCCCGGCTGGATGACCTTCGGATATACATCTGCTCCCAAGACGAGCGAAATGGTCGCCGGCTTGTGGAACTCCGTATTGGCCAGCTTCAGATCATCGAAGCGAGCCCGGACAGTGTCACTCAGTGGACGGATCGGGGTGCGGACGCGGAGACGGGGCTCGATTTTGAAGACGGCCTCCCACTGGAGTCCTTCCGTCTTAGCCCGGATTATGGCGGTGCACACTCTCTCATCCCCGATGCAGGTGGTTGGCAGCTTCAATTCCTGAGCCACATCGGCGTCTATGCAGCTGACCGGCGTACAGGGATCGATGAGGGCGACCATGCTGTGCGTCCTCTGTTGCACCGCGAGGACCACCCGTGCCGTCGGAAGGACGTTAATGCTCCGGTGCTGGAGCAAGGAGTGCACTGTCGGGGCCGCATCCCCGAGGACAGGGCGGCTGACCGGACGACGAGGGCGTCGCTCTGCGCGGGAGGTTGTAGGTGGAGACGTCGATGCCGAAGAGGAGCCGACGGGGCGCCGCGGTCCTGGAAGGTGGAGCAGGGTGTGGTGGTTCTTAGCACACGTCTTGCACTTGTCTCCACTGCGGCAGTCCTTGCCCGAGTGGGCGTGAGCCAGGCAGTTCGAGCAGTATTTGTGCAACAACACTGCTCGTAGCCTCTTCTCGCCGCTCATGCGCAGGAATGTTCGGCAACTCTTCAACGGGTGGACTCCTGGGCACACTCGGCACTTGAACGAGGCACTCCTACCTCGTGCCGGTGTGCTATCGGCTTTGCGGCTTGCCCCGGACTGCGCGGAATGTTTAGGTGCAATGGCTATACTCCGGAAGATAACTGTGATGGAAGAAAAGCGTCAAGGAAGGATTAGTACAGTGTTGGCACGGATTGTCAACGATTCGAAAAGGGAGCTTTCGGAACTGCTTAGGAACTACGGATACTATTGCTGGATTAAGCGGATTCTTAGGGATCGGAGCCTACGCGAGGGTAGGTGGAAGGGACTTCCGAATCCATAGGCAGCAGAACCACCTTCGTGATCGGTCGCTTGATAAGGCCGCGGGTGAGTAAGTCTACCACGCGAACCTTTTCATCGGGTCCCGGATACGTGCTCTGAACACGGCCGAGACGCCATTCGTGAGAGGGAATGTTTTCCTCCTTGATCACTACGAGGTCTCCAACCTCGAGGTCTCTTGTCGGATGCTGCCATTTGTTGCGCTTGTGCAACTCTCGCAGGTACTCTGTCTTCCAGCGCGAACAAAATTGCTGGTTGAGAGCCTTGAGGTGTTGCCAGCGGTTTAGGATGGAGGAGGCGCTCGCCTGAATTTCGGGCTCTGCCACGGATAGTAGCGGCCCACCAATCAGAAAATGACCTGGGCTCAAAGCCAACGGGTCCGTTGGGTCCTCAGACATTGGAGCGATTGGTCGCGAGCTAAGGCATGCCTCAATCTTGGAGAGAAAGGTCGCGAACTCCTCTAATGTGTATTTGGAAGTACACATCGACCGCTGGAAAAGAGCCTTGAAGCTCTTCACACCCGCTTCCCATAAGCCCCCATATGTGGGGCCCCTGGAGGGATGAATCGCCACGTTAGCCCCTGCTGGCTGTACACCGCGGAGGTCCGAGTGCGGAGGGCCTCGAGAAGGTCCACAGCCAGAGAGCGGGATGCGCCGACAAAATTCCTCCCGTTGTCGGAGTGAACTTCGTGGGGACAGCCTCGTCTCGCGACGAACCGGGCGAAGGCGGCTAGGAAAGTGTCGGGGGACAAGTCGGACGTAGCCTCCAAATGGATGGCCTTCGTGGTAAAACAAACGAAAGCGCACACATACCCCTTGGAGATGCGACAGGCGCGTCCTGTGAAACTTTTCACGTCGAACGGCCCGGCGAAGTCGACTCCGGTGTATGTGAACGGCCGCGAAAATGTAACTCGTGGGGAAGGAAGGTCGCCCATTAATTGGGTTTGGAGTCGCTTGCGATGGATGACGCAGACCTTACAGGAGTGGATTACTGCCCTCACGACGTGACGTAGTCGAGGGATCCAGTATGTTGCCCGGAGAAGGCGGATGACCAGCTGGTTCCCACCATGTAGGGATACGTGATGGGTGAATCGAACCAGCAGGCGAACCAGGAGGCATGCGGGTGGCAACAGGATTGGATGCCGCTCGTTGTAGGTCATGGATGCCGAGGCTCGGACCCGGCCACATGCCCGCATGACTCAGTTCTGGTCCAGGAACGGATTGAGGTTTTGAAGAGAGCTCGTAGTCGGAAGTGGCTGCTTGTTTACAAGACAGCGATGCTCCGCCGTATAATGGAAGCGTTGGGTCGTGATGGTGACAGCTTGGAGAGCTGCAGCGACCTCTTTATTGTCTCAGCTCTGTGGATACGTGGACTGGCGTTGCTTGCCCTCTGACGCGCTGGCCGAACCGCCGAACGTAGGCGATCACGCGCAGAGCGCGTCCGAATTCGGAAAATCGGCTGAGAATGTCCGAGGCGGTGTCAGTTGCGTGGTGAACCTTGACGGCTCGTTTCTCCAAGTCGGTCTCAAGGATTGAGCCTCGTGGACACGGCCACTCCGACTGCGGACCACGCAGCCACGCAGGGCCATGCCACCACATGTCATTGCCGACCAGTTCAGTGGGTCCGAGCCCTCGACTGGCGAGGTCGGCCGGGTTGTCCTCGGATCGGACGTGGCTCCATCGTTCGCGGGGCCAACAGTGATTTTGGCGACTCGATTCCCTACAAAAGTGGTCCAATCACATGCCGGCCTGTTCAACCAGGCCAACACAATAGTGGAATCGGTCCAAAAGTACACCTGGCTGGCGTCGAGCGGCATTTGAGGAAGGATGGCCACGGAGAGTTCTGTCAGAAGGACAGCTCCGCACAGCTCGAGTCGAGGCAACGAGACTGTTTTCACGGGGGCAACGCGGGTTTTGGCTGTGAGAAGGGTACACACAATGCCCTGCGGACGCTCAACTCGGACGTAAATCGCTGCCCCATAGGCACGTTGAGACGCGTCGCAGAACCCATGAATCTGTACCTTGGCCATCGGACAGACGTGTTACCACCGCGGAATGCGGATCCCTTGGATGGCCGGAAAGCTTTTCAGGAATGTCTCCCAGGCTTGAGACAGATCGTTAGGAAGGACGTCATCCCATCCTAACTCTCTCAACCAAATGTCCTGCATAAATATTTTCGCTTGGACGACGAAGGGGGCAAGCCATCACGCTGGATCAAAGAGCTGCGCGATCTGGGACAGCACATTGCGCTTCGTGCAGGATTTTCGCTCGTTTAAGGCGGGAGGCGAAAAGAAGAACTCGTCGGCACTGGCTTGCCATCGGATTCCCAACGTCTTAGCGATGCTACTCTCTTCCAGCTCTAGGAAGTCAGCGCGGAGTAAGTGGTCGACTGGAATATCGCGCAGGACGCCCTTATGGTTAGCTGTCCACTTTCGGAGCGGAAACCCTGCAGAGTCGAGTGCTTCGCGTAGTTCAGCAATGGCGGAAATTGCATGAGACTGAGAGTGAGCACCAGCGAGCACGTCGTCCACGTACATGTCGCTCTCCAGGATGACGCTTGCCATCGGCAGCTGTGGACGCACCTCTTGTGCGAGTTGCTTGAGGAAGCGGAGGGCGAGGTACGGTGCGCAGTTGACTCCGAAAGTGACAGTGGTGAGCTCGTAGTCACACACGTCCCCGTTACGGTCGCGAAACAGTATTCGCCGATAGGGCGTGTGTTGGGAAGCCACTTGGATTTGCCGATACATCTTGTTGATGTCGGCATTGAAAACGTAGCGAAAGACGCGCCACCTCAGGATTTGCATGGTCAAGTCAGACTGAAGGACTGGCCCAGCATGCAACGTGTCGTTGAGGCTTTTCCCGTTGGAAGACGGGCTGGAGGCGTTGAAGACTACGCGCAATTTGGTTGTGGTGCTGTCGGGTTTAAACACGGCGTGATGTGGCAGGTAGAAATGGCCGGAATCATGACTAGGCCTAACCGCTGTCATGTGGCCGAGCTCTAAATATTCCTGAATGACGGAGTCGTACTGCTTCTTGAGCGGCAAGTTCCGCTGCAGCCGCTGCTCGTTTCTAAGGAACTGGGCCTGGGCCGCGCTTCTGGAGTGGCCTAGCTCGACTTTTTCTGGACACTTGAAAGGGAGAGTAACAACGTATCTCCCATTGGGGGTTCGTTTAGTGGTCTGGAGGAAGTTTTCCTCGCACACTGAATCGGACTCGCTCGTCGGTCTCCCGGAAGGTCCTCCACCTCCCAGAATTTGGTGAGAAGCTTCTCGAGTCGGACATCCGAATTAAACGAGAGCTTCGTGGTGAAGGCGGAAACCGTCCGAGCCGAGTCAGCTGATACCGGACCGGATAGGACCCACCCGAAGATGGTCTCTTGTCCCAGCAGCGAGCCACAAATGGCAGACTGGAAGCCGCTCAACAGGATAGAAGGAAGGATGTCAGCGCCTAGAAGCACATCAATCTGCGAGCTTCGGTGGAAGGAAGGGTCTGCCAATTGGAGGTTTGGAAGGTTATCCAAGAAGTGCTGCGGTATCGGATATGAAGGAAGGTTGCCTGCTAATTGAGGCAGAACATATGCCGTGGTCTCGATCTTGAGGCCCGGCCTGGAGGCGGCCCCGATCATGAAGTGGCAACGCTTTTGCGCCTTAGCCGCTACGGTTTGGTTTAAACCCGCGACTTGAGCCTGGATAGCTTCGAACGGTGGCTTAATGATGTTAAAGAGGCGTTCAGTGATGAACGTCGCTTCGGAGCCTGAGTCGATCAGAGCGCGGGCACGGAAATTGGTCCCCAGGTGGCAAATATTAATAAGTGCTGTGCCCAGAAGAACGGTACTTGTGCTGGAGGAGAAATAGCTCTGTACGTTGGGCTGAGAATTGGACGAGCTGGGGGTTTGGGCGGATGTCGAAGCCGCCATGTTGGACGGAGGCGCGGAACGATGCAGAAGCGTGTGATGCCTGGCTCCACAAGTGGAACAATTGTGCCTGCTTGAGCAGTCGCGAAGCTGATGGCCTTTTGCGAAGCAATTTAGGCACAGCTGTTTTGTCTTGATGCAATTGGAACGTGCATCAGCGGACATGTTGAGAAAGCGCGGACATAGTCGGATCGGGTGATTCTCCTTGGAACAGAGATCACACGTCCTCTTCTTCGGACTCACTTGGTTCTTGAAAGAAAGAACCTTGCTCGGCACCGAACTGCCGTGCGACCGGAATGGATTGGATCGGTTGCAAGAAGTGGATGGATTCTGGCCGCCTTGGGAGGGTGGCGGATTCGTAGCCACTCGGGAAGTGGAAGGGTCGCTCTCAATAGCTTCGAGCGTCAAATAGCGCTGAGTGAGGAAGGAGTCGATTTCCTTCCAGGGCGGCACTTCCTTCTTGTCCGTCACGGACGCTTCCCATAAGGCGCGGCTTAGCTTCGGCAATTTGGAAGCGCAGATGGTCACTAGGAGACTATCCCAATTGTCGGTACAGACGTTGGAGATAGCTAGTGCATTTAAGACCCCCTGCATAGTACTTTGTAGATCCTTCAAAGCCCGACTGCACTCGGAAGTTACGCGGGGCAAGAAGAGGAGGATGTTTATCTGGTTGGTAACCAGAAGCCGATTATTTTCATATCGGCTGAGGAGAGCCGACCATGCGGACTCGAAACCGTCATTAGTGAGGGGGGATTTCTCTACGATGGCCTTCGGATCGCCCCGGGTCTTCTCGGTGAGGTAGTACAGCCTCTCTACCGGAGACAATCTAGGATTGTTGATCACAACCGCAGTGAACAGATCCCGAAATGTGGGCCAGCGGACGTATTCCCCTGTGAATGCCTCAATATTGACGGGAGGCAGTCGACAGCCGCCCTGTTGGACTGGCTGTGAAGGAGGAAGAACTATGGATGTGGCCAGCTGGGCATTGAGGTCGCTGAGACACTGCTCAAATACCCCATAGCATTCGCCATATGTTTCCCGGATGTCCGCTTGGATTTCTGGATCCTCGTCAGCCATCACCGCGGAACAGGCCTTGTATTCGGCCTCGACGTCCGTCCACATGCTGAGGATTTGGCCTCGGACAGAGGGGCGGATGGGGCGGAAGTGATACGCTCTGCCAGGTGGGATAGTCGGCCAATGGCGGCTACCAATTTGGTCCAAGCGGCAGAGGTGGCGGATTGAGCCATTGTGGTGAGGTGGCGAGAGCTGACGGGACTAGTGATGCAGCCTTTCGGATCCTGTTTAGTCACCGATGGAACCTAAAGGGTCACCGGAGACGGGAATAGGACCGATTTGGTCCTTGTAGCAGGGCTGCTACTGGCTGCTCTCGGAGTGAGGGATGCCTTGATTGGCTGTGTCGGAGTAGTTCCGGAGGCGGACGAGGTGCGTAGCCGGTTGGACGAGGTCACAGGCAAAAGTTGTTTGCCGTCCTTGTGACCTGTTGGCATAATTTAAAAGGACCCACGCAAGAAAAAAACGTTTTTTTTGGAAGTCTGTGAGGGACTGCAGACTGGTCTGAGTAGAGTTGACTCGGAACCGTCAGGAAACACCCGTAACCCAAACACGGACTATCAGACAAAAGGCCTCAAGCTAGCTGGAAGGCAATAATCGGAACGACTCGGATTGTTTGAGATCACCTGTAGGTGAGAAATCTCAAACAATGAGTGACCCTATATTGAGCCGAGCTGAGGAGAGGAACGGTCACACTGGAGAAGCAATATTTGGAAATATTGACTGTGCGGTGCTCCTCCGTTTACCCCTTGACGCAGTCGTGAGCGGAACTGGGTTACTATCGGATGGAAGGAAGCAATGGAAGCAGGCACGGACACCTCACAGAAACGGAACAACAATAATTTCTTTATCAAAACAAAAAAAATATTTTTTTGTTTGTGAACCAAAAAAAAGATTGGAGGTTTTTCTTGGACGTGGTCGGAGTATTTAATTATTTAACTTATTTATTTTTTTTTTCTATTCGGATGAACACCGGGTTCGGATGCCGATAGTTTTTGGGCCACCTCTCACTCTCGGAACAAAAAAATATCAAAACACGCAACACAATTTGCCAATTTGTAAGGTAAATTGCCAAATAATTACGGAAAATGCGCCGTGCCTTGGTCGCGAGTAATTAATTTGGACTCTGGAGAATGTGGGAGAAATTGGAGACCTTGCGAAAAGTGGCTGGAGGGCACGAATTTCACTTAATCGCGGATTTTCAAATATGGCACTTGCGCGGAGTGGTGGTATGCGGTATTTAATTGTTTGGTATTTTGTTGAATGTGTGTATGTATGTATATAGTTGGGAGCCAACTATGCAAGTAAATGTAATAAATAAATAAATAAAATAAATAATAAATTTAATTAATAGCCTTTTTACACTGGGCGCGTCTGCTATCGATATCGGAATAGACGCAATGAAGCAAAAAAGGCGTTTACATTGGCCGACGTGCGTCTTGAATTTTGATTTGGGTGCTTGATGACAAGGAAAGTAAACAAATTTTGAGAAATCAACAGAATTTTGCAAGACGACAAGAAAATGGACGAAAGAGAATTGATTCTTATATTTATTTATTATTTTCAGACATTTCTTTGTAGAGCTTGTGGGAGTTCTTCTTAAAATTATGAAAACCATCGAAGTTCGTCTCTAGCAGTGTCATAATGGCATCATGGGATTACAAAAATGTTGTATGATAATAATACAATCAGTTTCAAGTATTTTATTTCATGATTTTATGTATATTTTGCACCTTTTTGCACAACCATTCATTTTAGCGCCAAAATTTGATTTTTTAACTACAAGTTTTTGTTGTTCTTAGAGGTGATAGTTGCGCTGATAGGCAGAAAAGTGCAAAAATGTGCAGTTAAGCGCAAAAGCAATCGAATATATCGAATAGACGCACATGAATCAGAGACCGACGCAACTTTTTGCCACCACTAGGGCCCTATGCTTAACCTATTTAAAAAAAACTGCGTCTTTGCCAAGACGCAAAGAAGAAAACACAGGTAGCTGGATGGATACTTTTATTGCTGCTGTAATGTGTATATGTTGGTATGTGTGTGTGTTCACTTGCACTTGGAGTGTGCCAGTGTATATTGTATTAGGGTAGGCCGCGAATGGAACGCACTGAAGAAATATTAGTGTATGTGTGTGTGAATTCACTTGCACTTGGAGCGTGCCAATATATATATTATTGGGGTAGGGCGCGGATGGAACACACTAGAAAAATATTAATGTATGTGTGTGTGTATGTACGCAAGCCGCTCTCATGGGCTGGAATGTGCGTACATACATAGGCGCGGAATACACTTTTATTTAATATATTGTATTAAATAATTAATTATTTTGGTAAATAATTTGTCCGCGAGTTATGGACGGACACAAGAAACCGACGAAAAACTACCGTATTACTGGTAATTCGAAGTGAAGTACCGGAGAACGGCCGGAATTGCCGATAATATGGCGGTGGCGAAGTTGGAAGCACTACGGATAACGGAGATGGCGAGAGTACATATATAAGACTATATATATGTACTTCGGTCGCGGCACTTTGAACTCGCGGAATTTTCTCTGGAGCACAAACCGCGAAATGGAGGCGGTTTATGGTAAAGAAGGCAAGCGTACTTATCTTGTGATTTCCTGGTGAAGGCGATGCCGTGCTCGAAGGCTGGAGAAGCTTTTGGGGAAGCAGTAGATCCGGCTCGAAGGACCAATATTTGAGCCAAGGGGCGTCGTAAAATTCCCAGGTCGAAAATCCCAAGAAAAGTCCAAGTCAGAATCCAAAAGAAAGCCGGGGTCGTCAGTGTTCAATCAATTTATTGGTATATATGGGTTTGTACAAGGAGTTCACGCGTGCGAAGGTAACCCGTGTCGCTCGTGGGATGTGTGTTCGGGGCTGCTGAGGACGAGGAGCGGGAGCGAACGTAGTTGGAAGTTACGCTCAAGCTGCCGAGGGCTGTCGGCAGCGAGAGCGTGATCGTGGGCGGGAGCGTGCCCGTGGTGAATTTAAGAATGAAGAGAGCGTCGCCGGTGGGAAAAATGCTCTTAAGTATGAGGGCGAAAGCGAGGGCAGCCGCTTGCGTAGCTGGAGTGCTAACACTGAGATGTGGCTGGAATGCCCACAGAGCGGTTGCCCCGCCAGCGCCGTCCCCACTCTGAACATGCAGTAATTAATAAGTCAGGTCGAATCATGTAACGGGAGACATAATAACAAACGACAAAGCATTGTAGCTGAGTCAACAATAACCGCTTCTGCAGCAATTTCTGCCAACGATGCGATCGCTCGTCAGAGGACAAAAACACTGGTGCAATTGCTGACTATCACAATTGCCCAATAACACAATATCATATTAAATCCAAGTTAATTCAATATTAATTCCAATTCCCTTTTACCATATTCTTTCTAGACTCAGCACTTTCTGTACCTTTTGTTACCTATAAATAGAAATTAAGTTTGTTACATAAAATCAGTATCAGAAACAGTACCATCACTGCCTGTTTACTCATTCTCTACAACTGCAATCAACAGAGGCTGTCGCCGTTCTTCAGACCCTCATTTGCTCAACGTAGGAAACCCTCTCCGCAGTCCAACAAGTTCAAGTTCTAGTTGCGACGACAAATTTGTAGACGGTTTATGTACCGTATGCATACCAAAACACACACACAAACACACATTAACATTTGGTGACCCCGACGCAGGAAAACATGCAGATCACACTGAAGAAGTCACCAGGACTTTTCAACACAAACTGGCAACAAGCCAAATACTTACGGTAGAATCTCCTACCAATAAGTAGAACAAATTGGCAGATCTGTCACTTTCAGATCATCAGCCAACAAGATCAACGATTAATAATATCAAGATCACAAGTGCGTTTCACCAGCACAAAACCTCCATCCAGTACGTCGTCTGTACTTATACTTTGAACCACATCGGTTGCGAATAGGAGCGTATCCAGCTGCAAAGCGAATAAAATACTCCCAACGGGTCAAAGTATAATTATGGATTCCCACAAGGAGGAACACGCTGTCACCACGGAAGCTTACAGTGAATTGCCTTCACTATGTCGCCGACAAAAGGCCATAGTAGCGTCCATAAAACGCATTCTGAGACAATTCTAAGAGGCGGGAGGACGTACATCAAGTGATTTGATAAAATCACTGTGGACTCAAGCACAAGAAGTCCATTTTACTATCCACGAGGAATATGATAACCCAGAGGAAGGAGGATACAACATGGAAGCCTACCTGACCCTGGAAAAAGAGGTTCAAAGTGCATTGGCAAAACCAGCCACATCAAACAATAATGACGTACTGACATACTGAACATACTGAAATGGTCTTAGTTCTATGACCTGTTTTCATGTATGATACATGAAACAAACATGCCCACAGTTCGGAAGATGTGGTATCTGAAAACAACCGTAACTGGAGAGGCAGAAAGATTGATCCGACATATCGATCTAAAGGAAGAAAACTATTTGAGCGCCTGGGAAATTCTGATTGATACATACAACAATCCCAGAGACGTCGCTAGAACGGTATTGAATCGCTTCCTAAATTATAACACAGTTAATGACGACTCCAAGTCATTAAAAGAGTTGTACGTTACAACTATCGCTAAAGGGATTGGGCATCAATATATCCACATGGGATCCAATATTGATTGCCGTCAACAAAAAATAAGCTGGATGTCACTAGCAGAGCCTTGTACGAGCAATCATTGGGAAGCTCAAAGGAAATACAGGCCTTGGACACAATGCTTCAGTTCCTAGAACAAAGAGTTCGAGTTCTAGGAACAGGCAAAAAGACACAAATGTCAAGGAAAGAGCCAAAAGGCACAACATGTGCAACAGTAAACACTGGAAAATCGAAGACGCCTCTCTGCTCATTCTGCAGGAAGGTAAGCCATTGGCTCTACGGATGCGATGAGTTTCGCTCCAAATCACCATCAGAACGACTAAATTGGGTACAAAAGCAGAAATTGTGTGTCAACTGTTTTAAAACAACAGGTCGGACATGTTTCAAGTGCGACAAAAAACACAATACACTGCTGCACTTGGACATA